CAGCTCCATCCATGTTCTTGCAAAAGACATGATTTTGCTCTTTTTCATGACTGCGTAGTATTCCATGGTATATATGCACCACATTTTCTTTATCCAGTCTATCACTGATGGACATTTAGGTCGATTCCATGGCTTTGCTATTGTGAATAGTGCTGCAATGAGCGTAACGCATGCATGTGTTTTTATAATAGAACAATGTATATTCCTTTGGTATATGCCCAGTAACGGGATTGCTGGGTCGAAAGGTATTTCTGTCTTTAGGTCTTTGAGGAATTGCCACACTGTCTTCCACAATGGCTGAACTAATTTACACTCCCACCAACAATGTATAAGCATTCCTTTTTCTCCATAACCTCACTAGCATCTGTTATTTTGGACTTTTTAATAGTAGCCATTCTGACCGGTGTGAGATGGTATCTCACTGTGGTGTTGATTTGCATTTCTCTAATGATCAGTGATGAGCTTTTTTTCGTATGATTGCTGGCAGCGTGTAAGACAACCAGCTTTTCCACTCAAAGAGCATAAATTCCAGAATAAGCATTAGCTGGGCAATAGGAGCATATTCTTTCCTCAGTCAGAGTCTCCAGTGCCTCTCTCTGTGTGAGTTTCTTGCCTCGCTAGTACGAGTCTGGTATTCAAAGTGAAATACTCATATAGCATGACCTTCCTAGTGGATTTCATCATTTAAAACTTCTGCCTGAAATACATTTGCTCCCCAAATGTGAGCAAATACATCCTGATCCACTCCAACAGTTAAGACCTACTATATTGGAATTACTGAGAGATGGTACCTCAGTCTTCAATATGGTGTCCATTTTCAAAGCCAATTTTGATCATTCTTAACAAAATGAGTCTTGGCAGGGCTCAGTAGCTCATGCCGAAAACCCCAGCAAACTTTAGGAGGCCGAAGTGGGAGGATCGCTTGAGACCAGGAGTTGGAGACCAGCCTAGGCAACCCAGCGAAATCCCCATCTCTGCAAAATATATTTTTTAAAAAACTAACCAGGTGCAGTGGCATACAACTGTAGTCCTAGTTACTCAGGAGGCTGAGGTGGGAGGATCTCTTGAGCCCAGGAGTTTGGGGCTGCAGCGAGCTGTGATTATGCCACTGCATTCCAGCCTGGGCGACTGAGCCAGACTCTGTTTCTAAAAATAAAAAATAGGCCAGGGCCGGGCGCGGTGGCTCAAGCCTGTAATCCCAGCACTTTGGGAGGCTGAGATGGGCGGATCACAAGGTCAGGAGATCGAGACCATCCTGGCTAACACAGTGAAACCCCGTCTCTACTAAAAAATACAAAAAATTAGCCGGGCGCTGTGGCGGGCGCCTTAGTCCCAGCTACTCAGGAGGCTGAGGCAGGAGAATGGCGTGAACCTGGGAGGCGGGGCTTGCAGTGAGCGGAGATCGCGCCACTGCACTCTAGCCTGGGGGACAGAGCGAGACTCCGTCTCAAAATAAATAAATAAATAAATAATAAAACAAAATAATTTTTAAAAATCAAAATGAGTGCTGATTGCCCATTTATTACCGCATGCAGCACACTGCATTATGGCTTGCTGTTTACCAAACTCTCTTTACCACTAGATTGGAAGTTTCCTGCTGCCAGGAATGGTATGGGATTCATTTTTATTAATCCAACTAGAAATGCTGGGCACATAATAGGATCTCAAGAAAAACAGAAGGAAGAAATGAGCAGATCAGAGAAGAAAAAAACAAAGAATAATAAAGAGGGGAGGAGAGAAGGAAAACAAATATCTTAAGGGTCCAGATGACGCTTCCAAAAACTATTTTGAACAGTACTAAGAAAACACTCATCATCATCAGGAATGAGAGACAGAAGGCATTTACAGCCAGGATTTAAGAGTCAAATCCACAATTAAAGGCATTAACAGCCACTACTTGGCTGATAATAGCACCAGCAAGGCTGGAAGCCCGAGTGTGACAGACCAGAGTGTAAATCAGATGAGCAGTTACAGCAGTTGACCTGCCTGCAATATTTCAACTTTATACACACTTTTGTTATTTTATTTTTTTAGAGACAAGGCCTCACTCTATTGCCCAGGCTGGAGTGCATTGGCGCAATCATAGCTCACTGCAGCCTCAAACTCCTGGGCTCAAGCAATCCTCCTGCCTCAGCCTCCCGAGTAGCTGGGACTACAGGGACATGCCACCATGCCTGGCTTTCTTTTTTTTTTTTTTTTTTTATGTTTTGTAGAAATAAGGTGTCACGAGGCCGGGCGCAGTGGCTCAAGCCTGTAATCCCAGCACTTTGGGAGGCCGAGACGGGCGGATCACGAGGTCAGGAGATCGAGACCATCCTGGCTAACACAGTGAAACCCCATCTCTACTAAAAAAAATACAAAAAACTAGCTGGGCGAGGTGGCGGGCGCCTGTAGTCCCAGCTACTCGGGAGGCTGAGGCAGGAGAATGGCGTGAACCCGGGAGGCGGAGCTTGCAGTGAGCTGAGATCTGGCCACTGCACTCCAGCCTGGGCAACAGAGCCAGACTCCGTCTCAAAAAAAAAAAAAAAATACAAAAAACTAGCTGGGCGAGGTGGCGGGCGCCTGTAGTCCCAGCTACTCGGGAGGCTGAGGCAGGAGAATGGCGCGAACCCGGGAGGCGGAGCTTGCAGTGAGTTGAGATCCGGCCGCTGCACTCCAGCCCGGGCGACAGAGCGAGACTCTGTCTCAAAAAAAAAAAAAAGAAAGAAAGAAAGAAATAAGGTGTCACTATGTTTCTCAGGCTAGTCTCTAACTCTTGGGCTTAAGCCACCCTCCCACCTCAACCTCCCAAAGTGCTGGGATTACAGGTGTGAGCCATTGCACTCAGCCCTATACACATGAATATTTTTAATTCTTAGAGGCACCCAAAGGTCCCCATGAAACTAAAGCACAGCCTGCAGCTTTATCAAGGGTGAGGAGCCAGCCCTTGTCTGGGAGAAACCTGCTCCCGCAGTGACATAAAACAGGCCTGGCTGTCCCTCTTCAGATGGAAGGGAGACGGCAGCCCCGAGATTAACTCAGCTCAGGAGACGCCAGCTCCTCTGCCGCAAGAAGGCTCAGCATGAGGAGTGAACCGGAACACTCCCCACCTGTTGTCTGCCCAATTAGATATTCACCAGGTGTGATTACCGCTTAGTGCACTGGAAGGCGATGCATTACAGGCTCACTCTGAATGGGTTCACAGTAGAAGACGTCCTCTCCTGACAACTGGGGCTGCCACTATGGAGAGCTCACCACCCTTCAGGCCCTCGCTGCAAGGTGGTATTGCTACCTCCATTTCACCTGAAGTGAGGTGAGGGAGCAGAGGGGTGAGGGAGCAGAGGGGCCTAGCAACAGTTAGGCAGTGGGAGGAAGGTTGCAGATTAGACCCAAGGCCATTTTCTCTGCGTGTCACCAAATGGCTCCCCATGGAAAGGCAATTTTTTTTTTTTTTTTTTAGAGACAGGGTCTCGCTCTGTCACCCAGCCTGGAGTGAGCTGGAGTGAGTGCACTGGCTCTATCGTAGCTCACTGCAGCCTCGAACTCTGGGCTCAAGAGATCCTCCTGCCTCAGCCTCCCAAGTAGCTGGAATTACAGATGTGCACCACCGTGCCTAGCTAATTTTTACATTGTTTTTTGTAGAGGCGGGATCTCATTGTGTTGCCCAGGCTGGTCTCACATGCCTGGACTCCAGTGATTCTCCTGCCTCAGCCTCCCAAAGTGCTGGGATTACAGGCATAAGCCACTGCGCCTGGCCTGGAAGGCAACTCTTATTGACCTCATGGTGGCCAAACCCCCTCCCTTGTTTCTCCATCTCCCGTCCCTGTTCCTACACCAGCCATCCCACAGGACAGGGAGAGAAGGAAGGGAAGACAGGAGGAGGGGAGGAAGGAAGGAGGTGAGGGAGGGAAAAAGGGAGGGAAGAGGGAAGCGGGGAAGGAAGGGAAGAGGGGATCGGGGAAGGAAGGGAGGAAGGGAGCGAAGAGAGAAGTGGGAAGGGAGGGAGGGAGGAAGGAGTGGCTGGGTCTTTTCCTTTCCTTGGGCTCCCCACATTCTTCTACCCACAATGGGTAGACGGTTATCCTCTAAGATGCAGGAATGCCCGACAGCCGACTGGAGACACAGCCTGGTCCGTGGGTGGCTTCCCGAGCAGCCAACCACATTTCCCTGGGCTGGACAGGGGGAAGGAAGCCAATCTAACAGTTGGGCTGAAAAGCATCCATGCATCATCTTGTTTTCCAGCCTTCACTTTTTCCCCCAAATCAATTTCTGAAAGTCAAAATGATTGATAGCTTTATACCCTGTGCAATCATTCTCCTTATTAAATAACTCAGCATCAATCATTTAAAAAAGGCTTCCAAGGCCGGGCGCGGTGGCTCAAGCCTGTAATCCCAGCACTTTGGGAGGCCGAGACGGGTGGATCACGAGGTCAGGAGATCGAGACCATCCTGGCTAACACGGTGAAACCCCGTCTCTACTAAAAATACAAAAAACTAGCCGGGCGAGGTGGCGGGCGCCTGTAGTCCCAGCTACTCGGGAGGCTGAGGCAGGAGAATGGCGTGAACCCGGGAGGAGGAGCTTGCAGTGAGCTGAGATCCGGCCACTGCACTCCAGCCTGGGCGACAGAGCGAGACTCCGTCTCAAAAAAATAAATAAATAAAAAAAAAATAAAAAAAAATAAAAAAGGCTTCCAGAGTGGTGGTAGTTACATGAATGTATACGTGTGATAAATTTTCACAGAAAGACACACACAGGAGTGATGTATATAAAAACTAGTGAAATCTGAGTAAGCTCTAGGTTAGTTACCAATGTCTATTTCCTGGTTGTGTAAGACGCTATCATGCTGGATCAAGAGGACACAGGAACTCTCTGCTATTTTTGCAACCTCTTATGAGTCAAAAATTATTTCAAAATAAAAAGTTTTAAAAATCCAAAAAAGCCTTTTAAACAGTAACATAAAATAAAAACGATCACTTTTTTAAAAAGCTCCCAGGAGGAAACACCACAAACCCATCCCTTACCTGAGAACTGGGAATCAGCGCCTTCCACCAGTGCCCGCCCTTGACCAGGTCAACTTCACACAAAGGCACGGAAACTTTCCCAATGACACAGTGGCGGGAGAACTTATCAAAATCCACCACGGTCAGGAGCAGGGTCCTCCTCTGGGCCTCCAGGAAGGGGATCTCGAAGGTGTAGCGCTCCTCAAACACGGGTTTCTGGGTCTTGCGTTTGACCCCGGTCTGCTTTGAGTTCTTCTGATCCGGCAGGAGACAGATCTTGACGTAGGGGTTGGAGTGTGCCATGTCCTGACGCGAGCCGTCGTGGGAGATGGGAGGTGGCAGGTCTCTGGCCTCGATCACGCGCACGGTGAGGTGGTTGTGCAGCAGGTCGTACTGAGTGCTGAAGTGCAGCATGCCCAGCTGGTACTTGGACAGGATCTCCTCGTCCGTCAGAGAGTCCACGTCGTCACTGCTGGAGTCGAGGGAGTACAGGTGGGGTTCGAACTTCCTGAAATAGTCGTCGGGGGTATAGGTCCGTCTGAGCACCGAAGGCTGGATGGGCTCCTTCTTGGCGCTGAGAACGCCAAACTCGATGGGTTTAATATCGATGAGTGGAGAGCTGGGACGTCTTGACTCAAGACCTGAGAACCACCAGAAATAACAATGAAGACAGCCACATACAAGGCACACCTGGGCAACTTTGCAGGTGAGCAGATTCTTGCACTGTTTACTCTGCTTCAAAATGATCCTTGCCATCTTTCTCCACACTCTGAAATACTCACTGATTCTGTGACAGACAGTATGGTGGCACTCTTGTCACCATTGCCATCATCACAGCAGCTAAGTGCCAGGCACTGCTCTAATAGACTGAGTACATCACATCATCTCATATGTGCAATCACAATCTTCACATGCCCTTGAATTCTTAGATAATTATTATTATCCCCACTTTATAGACGAGGAAACAGAAGCTTTAAGTAACTTTCTGAAGGTCACACACTTGCAAGTGGAGGAGTCAGGGGTCAGGCTGGTCTAGCTGGCCCCAGAGTCTGGCTCTAACCATTATCCTATGATGTCTCCACTTTAAGAAAGTGAGCTCTGGGACCAGAGTGTCTGGGTAGAATTCCCTGTCAGCCACTTACTCACTACTCGTGCACTCATTAACAATGAGCCATGTGACTCCGGGCATATTCTTTTGACTCTCTGGGACTCTGTTTTCCCATCAGTAAAATAGAGTCAATAATGGCACCTACCTCAAAGAATGTGATGAAGATTCACTGAACCAGGGCATGGAAAGGGCGTGGCACAGAATGTGCCCATAGGCACAGACCAATACATGGGAACGATGATACTTCTTCAAGGTTCGTATTCAAACTTCATCGCTTACGGGCTGCCTCTCTCCCTTCCATGGACCAGCAGAGTGCCTTGATCCCAAGTTCATAATTCTAACCTTTGTGCATCCCACTCTTTTAGCAATGAGCTCATGGCATTCTTGCTAATTGCCCTAACAGCTGTCTTTATGAGACATTTGCCTGAGGCATGGGAGGTGCTCTGATAGATGTGTGCTAAATGGAAATCACCTGTGTTCAGAGCTGGGCATAAGACTCAGAAATCATGTAGGCTCACACTGTCCACAGAAAGATAATGCAAGCCAGAAATGCAAGCCACATATGTAACTTAAAATATCCTGGCAGCCATGACTTTAAAAACATGCCAAAAAAAGGGCAAAATTCCTTTAATTTAATGTAATTTATTTGTTTGTTTTGAGACAGAGTCTTGCTCTGTCGCCCAGCCTAGAGTGCAGTGGCGGATCTCGGCTCACTGCAGCCTCCGCCTTCCAGGTACAAGTGATTCTCATGCCTCAGCCTCCCAAGTGGCTGGGACTACAGTTGTGTACCACCACACCTGGCCCATCTTTGCATTTTTAGTAGAGATGGGGTTTCGTCATGTTGGCCAGGATAGTCTTGAACTCCTGGCCTCAAGCAATCTGCCTGCCTTGGCCTCCCAAAGTGCTGGGATTACAGGCATGAACCACCGCACCTGGCCTGCAAAATTAATTTTAGTATTTTATTTTATTTAACCCACTATATCCAAAATATAATCATTTCAACATGGAACCAATATAAAAACATTTTAGTGAGATACTTTAAATTCTCTCTCTCTCTCTTTTTTTTTTTGGAGACAGCGTTTCACTTTTGTTGCCTGAGCTGGAGTGCAGTGGTGCGATCTCGGCTCACTGCAACCTCCGCCTCCCGAGTTCAAGTGATCCTACTGCCTCAGCCTCCCAAGTAGCTGGGATTACAGGCATGCGCTACCATACCCGTCTAATTTTGTATTTTTAGTAGAGATAGGGTTTCACCATGTTAGCCAGCCTAGTCTCGAACTCCTGACCTCAGGTGATCCTCCCACCTCGGTCTCCCAAAGTGCTGGGATTATAGGCACAAGTCACCACACCAGGCCTTTTATTTTCTCACTGTCTTGAAAGTCCAGTACATATTTTGCACTCACAGAACATCAGTAAGATTCAGTCTCACACCATTTGCGTGCTCAACAGCTACGTGTGTCTGGTAACTGTTACACCAGACAGCACAGTTCTAGATCAGCCCTCTCATTTTACAGATGGGAAGACTGAGGCCTAAAGAAACCCAGTGCTCCCTCTGTTTCACTATTTCCTGCCCTTGAACTCTTTTTTTTTTTTTTCCTACTTTTGTCTTTGCCCTCTACCCCCAGGAAAGGTCGGACACCAATGATCTCCACCTGAATGGACTTGTTTCAGGCATTTTAAGCTTTTCTCTCTGTTTAGTGAATTTCAGACATCAGTTCACGCAGAGAAGAGATACTTTTGTGGAGCAGAAGGAGGTTGGGAGTCTCTGGGTGTTTATCTTCCTTTTTCCTCCTCACCCAAATCATGCTGTTTGGTCAAACACATATGCCACACAACAGAGTAGACAAATTGGGCGGCCAAGTTTGATGGCTGCACATACATTTTGTTTAGGCTCGAAAGTAAGAATGTTTCATTAAAAAAAAAAAAAAAAAAAAACCCAGATTGCCAATATCTCTTTACAAAGATCAGACAATACTGGGCCCCCAATCCCATACAGCTACCATTGGCCAAGCTGAGCAGCAGCCGCCCTGCTCCCCTTTCAATGGGGCATTCGCTTTTCAATTGACTGAAGTCTTCACCCTGCCCTAGTAACTCTCCAGGCAGAGCGGCAGCTGCCATTTGTCACCGCACTCAGGCAATGTTTATCTCTATGTAACCTCTGCATTTGGCCACTGACGCAACCCGCCTAGCTCCCAAAGTCACCAGAATTGACAAGCCCTTCTATATAATATAGCCACACCCATCTTTCAGAATCTGAAATGATATACACTGACAATGTGAATCAATTCAGCCAATTCAATCAAACTTAAAATTAATAAAAGCAAAAATCAATCAAAATGATTGCTTTTGATTGAACTCATCAGCAATCAGGTGTGATGCCGTCCTCTGTCACACCGTCATTCTCTCTCTCTCCCCCTGTCTCCTGGACTGTCACCCCACTCTGCCGCCCTCCCGCAGCAACCACACTGCCCTTCATGACTCTCCGTGGGAGTGTCTGGAAAAGCCAGCCAGGGCCCCCAGAGAGGTACAGCGGAGATACTTACTTGAAATCCTCCGCGTCAGGCTGTACGTGGACTTGGATGTGTCTGAGGACGAGCGTCTTCCATCCGGGGAATTGGTCCGTGGGGTCAGCGGGACTTCGCTGGCCGTGTGGACAGAGTCACCATCCTTGTCACTGCTCCGGCTGGCCATCCTATAGGAAGGGAAGAGGTGTCAGTAGCTGTCCAGGAATCCCGAGGGACTGGTATCTCCGTCCCTTGGGGGTTAAGACCCGCGATGAAACCGCTCTCAGACCTATTTTATGCAACATGGAATAATGCAAATTTGAAACAGTGTGGTGTCCTTAAACTCTCAACAACGTCTTGCTTTTTGCACCAAATGTGAAATGATATGAAGAAATATTCCCCGATTTAGAACAATCTGTCAAGAACTTGCATAATTTCAAAGCTGGGGTTGGGCAGAGAACTGTGTAAACTTAGGCTGTCGCCACGTGAGGGCGCCACTTTGGCTCAGTGAAGCCCGAGACCTGTCAATCTCTAGTCTGCAGTGAACCGTCTGGTGGTTTATAGGCATCCAAACTTCTGCTTTTGGTTACAAGTGTCCTGGTATTTCAATAGTCACTGTGTCTATAATTTAAGATCTTTTAAAAATATCCTATAACAATGTCACTCAAGGGTTCTTTGCGTGGCAGAAATGGCCCTGAAAATCAACAATTTCTGAACAGAAGTTTGATGTCAAGAAATAGCTATAAATTAGCAGCAGCCGTGACTCAATGTGCTCCCAATAAAGAACTGCTGAGAAATTGGGAAGGAGCGAGTAAGGGTGGATGGAGAAGAAAGACGATACGGGGTAGTGATTAAGAGAACCACTGGGGCTGAACCCTGGCTGGGTGCTGGGGTAAGTCCCTTTCCCCTCCCGTACCTCCATTTCCCCATCTGTAAAGTGGAAATATTGACAGTACCCACATTATATGGTGGTTGCAAACCCTGAATGAGTTAACACATATAAAATGTGTAGAGGCCGAGCATGGTGGCTCACACATATAATCCCAGCATTTTGGGAGGCCAAGGCAGGAGGATCCCTTGAGGCCAGGAGTTTGAGACCAGCCTGGTCAACACAGCAGGACCCCATCTCTACTAAAAGTTGACTGGGCATGGTTGCCCACAACTGTAATCCCAGCACTTTGGGAAGCTGAGGCAGGAGGATCGCTTGAGCTCGAAAGTTTGAGACCAGCCTGGGCAACATGGCAGAACTCTGTTTCTACAAAAAAAATTTAAAAATTAGCTGGGCATGATGGCTTGTGTTTGTAGTCATAGTCACTTGGGAGGCTAAGGCAAGAGGCTCGCTTGAGCCCAGGAGTTTGAGGCTGCAGTGAGCTATGATTGTGCCAATGCACTCCAGCCTGGGAGACAGAGCAAGAGACCCTGTCTCAAAAATAAATAAATAAAATGCTTAGAACAGTGCTTGGTTGTGTAGTAAACAGGCGCTCAATATATTTTGAAACATTTTTTATGGATTGATCAATCGATGAATTCATTGATTTCTTTTTTTTTTGTTTAAGAAACAGGATCTCACTATGTTGCCCAGGCTGGACTCAAACTCCTAGGCTCAAAGTGATCCTCCCGCCCTCAGCCTCCTGAGTAGCTGGGACTATAGTTGCATGCCTCCATGCCCAGCTTAGTTGATATTATTACAACTGGGGGGCTTTAAGATCTCCCCCCCCAATACTCATAAAGCTAGGTAAGGATGCTGGAGGGATGGAAAAGGAGGTAGAAAAACAGCTGGTGACATCGTTTTGAGACTGATGCCGCTAATAACATGCCCCTAAACCATAATGGCTGTAGATTTATGCCTTCCGAGGCTGCATCCCCCGCAACGTGACATTAAAGCCTACAGGAAAACTTGTCTTGAAAAATGCAAGTTTTGAATGCTGTGAAGTCTTCAGACACATTCTGTGCATGAGATGAGACTGATCTAATGTTCTTCAAAAGCATTATCAGGAGCCGGGCGCGATGACTCACGCCTGTAATCCCAGCACTTTGGGAGGCTGAGCTGGGTGGATCATTTGAGGTCAGGAGTTCAAGACCAACCTGGCCAACATGGCGAAACCCCATCTCTACTAAAAGTACAAAAATTAACCTGGCATGGTGGCACACACCTGTAGTCCCATCTACTTGGGAAGTTGAGGCATGAGAATCACTTGAACCTTACCCAGTCTTGGGTATCTCTTTATCGCAACACAAAACAAACTAACACAGGTTGGAAGAAGGATGAATAACTAATTTGCATCACTGTTAAAAGGGAGAACCCCAACTGAGCCAGTAATGCTAAACTCTACATGGCACACACTCCCAATCGCCAAGTGAGGCATCTCTGTGAGACCTGTAAGAGCTCTGCACATTGTAGGGATTCAACATACGCTTGTTCGACAAGCAATCAACCAACTTGACTTTAATTCACTCTTCAATGAGGGTCTTTCTGGCATTGCTTCAAAAGGCACCAGTTAGATTGTGCAGTTTTCCTAATCTTCACCAGCCCAGCCAAGAAAAGTTGGGGGCCCACAGGACATGAGCATATGTGACAATTAATGTTGTGTCCCCCAAGATCACACACAGAGCACACACAAAGGGCCAGCTCATCTGCCACGTGCCAGTCCACAGAGGCAAGTCCCATGGTTCTCGGCTCAAATGTCGCAGTAGGAACAGCATTGCGAAGCCCATACACTTGACATTTCTACTTCCTGTCTGTTTGATAACATGCAGCTGCCCACTTGGTAAATAAATCTGGGGAAAATACAAAGCTGTAAATTTGCTTTCTGAATGATTTAGCCGTCTTCTCTTTACAGATTTCTCTTACCGTTTTGCATTATGCTGAGTGCCAAAAATGTGTCAAGCACTGCCCAGTGTTCAGAAGAGACCTCATTCATCCTGGGAAGCACAAAGGTCATGCACAGCTGTTCAGTCTGTAGACTGCACAACCCTAGATGGTGCCATTCATGATGGCCACCATGTGAATTGGTGCCACCTGGAGTTGTGTGGTGTATTGGCCCTGCTGGGAAAGTTACAGTCCACTTCTCTACTAGTGGCAAAACCGAAAGAAGTGTCTTCCCAGAGGGTCCCAGCCCTCTTGTCCCTGCTTACACAAAGGGTCAGCAGCAGTCAAGGCAAAATGCAACTGTCTTCCAACTCAGCATGAGAACCTAGGCTGTGCATCTGTAACACTCAACATTTGGATATCTAGGGGGCAAACAGGTACCTGACTGTGATTTTCAATACCTCTGAGGGGTCTCCGCTGGTACAGAAGAAAATCCAAATTCCTTACTCCGGCATTCAAGACCCAATTCAACCTGAGCTTGCAGGCTCATTTTCCACTATTCCCCCAGCTCTTCCTAGATGTAGTGTCCATTTGTGGTGTCTGCCCACTTCTCTAGTCAATTTTCTCCTCTGTAGTCACAACACCCCAATTGTCTATTACAGAGGTCTGCAAACTACAAAGCCAAATTCACTGCCTGATTTTGTAAATGAAGTGTTAATGAAACACAGCCCTGCCCCTTCATTTATGGTCTACAGCTGCTTTTGCACAACAATGGTAGAAATAAGTAGCTGCAGCAGAGACCATATGGCCCATGAGGCTAATATATTTACTATTTGGTCCTTTAAAAGTTTGCCAACCCCTGGTCTAATAGTTTAGTTCATGTGTTTCAGATGGAAATGACCATTTCCCTGGTTTCCTGGGTGGGCAGGTAACTGGCATGATTCTGGCACCATTTCCTCCAAGTGAAAGTGACTGGCACATAACCCAAGCCAGGCTAATGAGAGCCTTTCCAGGTTTTGTTTTGTTTGTTTATTTGTTCACTTTTTATGCAACGGCAACAGAATGCAAGTCTAGTCCTGCCACATGGAGAAAACAAGCTTAAGAATGAGGCCAATACAGAAGAAACAGAGAGAGAGAGAGAGAAACAGAGAAAGGCTCTGATGACATGATTTCTGCTCCTGGATCCAGCTACGCCTGAAGCCATCATTCCTGATTCTTTCATAACAAGGCCTTATGCAGGACTGTCATATATGGAATGCAGGGTGTAAATGCACAACTCTAGGGGGCAACCTGACTTATATACCTGCCTTACCTCCTACATGAGATTGAAAATGCCCTGAGCATGGTCATAGGACCCTATCTAGCCCTGTGTATGCCACAGCGCCTGGCACACTGTACTTAAGAAATAACTACAAAAGGAACTCAGATTAACTTTTCAACTGATGATTGGCACTTTAAGAATGCAAGTTCTGCCTGAAGAATAGTGTGTCAGTCAACAACTTTTTCTGAGTGAACAAGACAGGCAAAAATCCCTGCCCACATGGAGTTGGCATTCTTGTGAGCATAGCTTTAAAGACATCAGATGGACTGAACTAACTTCTGCTACATAGACCAGTGGAATCTTTTTTTTTTTTTTTTAAGTCTTGCCCTGTTGCTCAAGCTGGAATGCAGTGGCATGATTATAGCTCACTGCAGCCCTGAGTTTCCAGGCTCAAGCGATCCTTCCACCTCAGCCTCCCGAATAACTGGAACTCTAGGCAACAACATGCCCAGCTAATTTTAAAAATTTTTATAGAGATAGGGGTCTCATCGTGTTGCCCAGGCAGGCTGGTCTCGAACTCCTGACCTCCAGCTGTCCTCCCACCTCAGCCTCCCAAAGCACTGGGATTACAGATGAGAGCCACAGCACCCGGCTGCAAATTATCTCTTGATTAATGAGTTGCTTTCACCCAAAATCTCAACTTCACACACACCTGTAGGATTCAGGCCACAACTTATGAATAATGAATAATGGAAGAGTTCTTTAACATTGTGTTTGTATCAGTTTAATTAATCTCTATTGATACCTAATACTGACAGAAATAAATGCTTATAAAACTTTTACTCTGTGCTAAGCACATTATATGCATATCTTATTTATTTATTTATTTGTTTGTTTGTTTATTTTATTTTTTTTTTTTGAGATAGGGTCTCATTCTTTCCCAGGCTGGAGTGCAGTGGCGCGATCATAGCTCACTGCAGCCTCAACCTCCTAGGCTCAAGCGATCCTCAGCCTCCACAGTAGCTGGGACCACAGGCACATATCACCACACCCAGCTAATTTTTTGATGTTTTGTTGAGATGGGGTGGGGGAGAGGGTCTCACTATGTGGCCCAGGCTGGTCTCAAACTCCTGAGCTCAAGTGATCCGCCTGCCTCAGCCTCCCAAAATGCTGGGATTACAGGTGTGAGCCACTGCGCCCAGCCAGAATTACATTTATAATCACCAACGAAGTATCAAGCATTCCTAACTACTTTTCCACATTTCAAATTCATTGACTCCCTGCAACAACTCTGAGAGAAATACTATTCTTTTTATCACCCCATTTCACAGATGGGAAATCAAGGTACAGAGAGATTAAACCATTTGCCCAAGGTCCCAGAACTAGAAATAGTAGTTGCGATCACAGAGCCTGGATCCAGAGCCATTTTGCTATGGAAATATTTGATACTTGCTTCTAAGAAGAGAAAAAGAGGCCTGAGGCATGAGCCCCCAACTTGGAAGGGAAAGATGGGACACCAGAGACTTTTGGAATCTCAGACCGAGGACTGAGCTGAAACAGCACTGCCTCCTTCCACCCTGCCAGGCTCCAGCTGTGGGTTCTGGCCGCTGCCTCTCTCCCTCTCTGGGCCTGCCCCTCCGAATCATGACAAGCTCACTTGATGACTTCTTGATCCTTCCCAGCCCCGACCTTCTTGATTGTACCCAGGCTCTCTGACCACGTCCCTCTCTCAGTCACGGAGAGGTGGACCAGGCACGTGGCTGAGAAGCTTCAAAACTGCGTTCCCAAAATATCTGAGCGACTGGCAGATGGAGATGTTGTATGCAGGCGCGGGAGGAGAGCGAATTAGAAATAAAACGAAAGATGCCAGAGAGAACATAAACAGCGTTGGAGGACAGGATGGAGCCTGGAGGTGCTTTTCTGCTTCCCTGTTTCTGAAGTTCTTGTTCGGAGCAGCAAAAAGGCGCTTGTTTGTTGATTCCGTCTACCCATCCATGCAACGGATATTTATCGAGCTTTTACTATGTGCATGCCCTGGGCTGGGTGCTAGGGAATCTTGTCACGCGGACTTGGATGGAAACCCTCAGAATGTGGTCAGCCCTTGAAGAATATAGAGGCTCATAGATCTCCTTTTCTGCTTGGAACAACACTTTATATGACTAAAAATGCCCACACACTTAGCATTACACGGTTCATATCTCAGAAGGCCCAATGTGCCACTAGGTGAACTAAAACCCCACCACCAGCTGGTCTTGCCAGCTTGCCGAACAAAATGAGGTGTACAGAACATATCCGCAGTCTGCAGCAAAGATGTCCATGGAAACTCAGCCTGCTTCTCTTTCATGCCCCCACATCCTCCCTCCTGTGGCCCAGACCCCCAACCCCCGCTTCTCAGAAAAAGGGAAAAGTCTTGAAATTGATTTCGGAGCAGTTTTACTTACAGCCAGGGAGGGGTCTGAGCAGGGAAAGGTCCCAGAATTTCAACTTCATCCTCACTTGACTGGCAACAGCTGGACTCGTAGCACTTCTGACAGCAGTGCCGGCAGGTCCATCTGCACAGCAGCAGATCAGACAGTCTAGAAAGAAAACCCTGAGGCCATTGGGGGAGGTGGGCCGGGGGTAGGGGGAGAGGGGTGGTGGGCAGGGTGGGGAAGAGGAAGAGGAGAAACAACACCCAAAATTAAAAGTAGCCGATCTCGGATGAGAAATAGACATTCAGGAGTTCTGGCTTTGCTGCTCAGCACTTAGAACAAAATGTTTTCCATTTCTATTTACCAACTGCAGGCACAAAGATAGCAAACATCAACTCGCTGGAGCCATTAGTAGCAAGCAAAACATTTGCAGGTATTTTCTTTGGTAGTTTATGTGAACGTCTTTCTTGACATGTGGGTGGTTTATACAACATTGTAAGGGCTATACAATATGTTCAAAACACAATGAATATTACTCTGTCTTCTTGAAAGCAGGGGAAAAAATATGTAAAAAATGATCTCGGTGACATGAAACAGACAGAGATAATCAAACGGAATAAGTAGGGGTGGAGAGGGAAACTTGTCTTCTCAACTGGTGTCTTTTCAAAACCGGGATCTCCTTTCGTTAGAAAGGAATGGAAACTCTGCTGGTATTAACACCAGGTTATTGTTGAATATTCAATATCCCCACAGCCCCACATAAGACTCCAAAATGAAAGTCAGGCATTTCTTGATTAGAAACCAGACCAAACAAATCATCAAATGAACCCACCTCGTTTAATGGTTCCAACTGCCCTTTTAAGATCCACGATGAAGCCAAGGGCGTAAGGGAACGAAGGGGTTAAAGAAAGAGAGACAAGACCAGTTTAGCAATATTCCAGCAACTCAAAAAAAAAAATTTACAGAAGAAAAAAAAAAAAAAAAAGCCCTGCGTATTTCCACTTACCATCCTGGGAAGGGAGCTGACTTCCTAACAAGGTGTTGCTATTTTCAGGGCTGCTGGTAGCCTCCTGGTTAACCAACACCAAATAAATGGGAAACTTTAGCATTTCGATTTGATTTGCACCGTATGCTGTTATGAATCAGAGCGGGCGGATAGATAGTCATGCTATCCAATACAGCCACACTTCAGGAGAAGAGCAAACCTTCCTATACAGAAATAGCCATGTAGCCAACCCAAAAGGACATGATTAGCTAACATGCAGGCAGGCACACAGTGGATGTTACTTGGCTCCCCCGCCCTCCCGGAGGCCCTACCTTCCAATTCTGCTCCAATGGTAATGGTGGGGTGTTTCCTATCACCACCCACAAATAGAGGGAACTAAAAAGGAAGCCCTAATCTGGTCCTCTTGAGGAAGGAGGGCCTCCCTTCCTGTTGTGGCCCCACCCCACCTCCCCATCTTCGTCTCCTGGGTTTTCAGGGCACAGACTCCCTCCTTCTCTTTAAGATGGTTTTCCAAATGGGCCAAGTAGACTAGGTTGGTTAGAAGTCCTGCACCCCAACCTCGGGCATGCCCCAGAGGTGAACTGAGGTGGGACTCAAACTCAGAACTTTGAATCAAGAGGGGGAAAGTTATTATCTTCTTTCCAATTCTCCTTCCAGGAGGAGAAAGTCTCAATTTGGTACCACTGCATGTTAACATCTTTTTACCACTTACCAATTTCTACCCTCACCCATCCCCTTTCTTTTAAACAAAGAAAGTAGATCTTGTCCAGAGCCTTGCAGACAGCCATGTCCACCTAGAATTCAATAATGTGGCATTACTCCCATTGCGTTATTCTTCTAGTTGCCTTCTGCCCATGTCACATGATCTTGGTTTCCTATGATATTAGTGATGTAATGTTTCCTTTTCATATGATTTTGTTAAAGTAAAAATAAAAGTGAGCCCATTTATAGAAAAAAAAATTAAGTTAATAATAGCATAGGTAGGGCTAGGCACAGTGGCTCATGCCTATAATCATAGTATTTTGGGAGGCCAAGGCGGGTGGATCACCTGAGGTCGGGAGCTTGAGACCAGCCTGGCCAACATGGTGAAACCCCCTCTCTTCTAAAAATACAAAAAATTAGCCAGGCATGGTGGCAGGCACCTGTAATCCCAGCTGCTGGGGAGGCTGAGGCAGGAGACTCACTTGAACCTGGGAAGCAGAGGTTGCAGTGAGCCGAGATCACACCACTGCACTCCAGCCTGGGCAACAGAGTTATTTAGACTCTGTCTAAAATAATCGTCATCACCATCATCATCATCATAGTACAGGTGGTACGTGGCTTGTGAAAAAATCAAAATCCTCAAAGTGGTAAGGGAATAACAACAGCTTGGGAAATACTCAAAGGCACTTATCACAAAATCTCTAAAGCCAAAACTCAAACTATACACAGAACAAGACCCAAAGGTGCTGAGGGGCCATGCAACGAGCTGAGTCAAGAAGTACTACAGTCCTAGTCTCACCATTGACTGATCACGTGACTCGCACAAGTCAGGGGGCCTCTCTGAGCCTCGGTTACCTCTTCTTTAGTGGAAAGGCTACTCTATACTTCAAAGGGGTGCTGTTAGGGTGGGACAGGACACTGACTCTGCAAATACTTGCGTGCGGTCCAGTTGAAAATTAAAATGCACCCTTTCTGTGATGATAACTGGGTGATTGTCAAGACATAGTGGTACCCAGCAGGCACCAGGTATTGTCCCGGCAGGTACAGCAGGGCACAAAACAGCAAAATATACTCTCATAGGGCTTACATGAAAAAGTGCTTTAGAATGTTTAAGATAAAGTGATACTTTTTCATGATAATCCATGACCATTTTCGGAATATGGGGAAGCATTTCCTAGACATGTGGTGGTCAAAAGAGGCCATTTATGAAACCAAAGTGAACAGAGACAAGGCCACCTCATGCCCCTGCTGAAAAACAGCCTTCCCAGCTTTCTCAAAGCCCAGGTGCAAGATGAGTGTCAAGGAACAGAGAGAAACCAAAGAAGATGAAAGAGGTACCCTGACGTTCCCAGGCATGCGGTCTTTCTGGCATTGGGTCTCCTGGGTTCCCATGTTTGACACTGATGGAAGAGAACCAATTCATACCAGAAAGAAAGAGGAACAAAGAAAACCCATGCATTCTAAACAGAGGTTGGCAAACTAAGGTTCGCAGATCAAAACCAGCCCCGCAGCCTGTTTTGCTACAGCCCTTGAGCAAAGAATGATTTGTACGAGTTTAAAAGGTTGGGGGGAAAAAAAAAAGATGACTGCCTCTTGACTCGTGCAAAGTATACAAAATTCAAATGTTGGTGCCTGCAAATAAAGTTTTATTGGAACACAGCCACACCCACTCATTTACTACTGTCTATAGCAGTTTTGGTGCTATAGTCAGAGTGGAATAGTTGTGACAGAGACCATGTGAGCCTCCATGAGAAAAAAAGTACTATCTGGCATTTCACAGGACAAAAAAAGTTTAACACCTTGTTCTGGAAGGAAAACCGACATCTCTGCTCATTGTCATATGAGATGCTTAACATATCTCGCACCGACCCCCCTTGAGATCCCACCTTGACCCCTAAGCGGCTGTGTGGCCTTGGGCAAGTCACTTAATTTCTCTCTGCTGAAGGCGGCCATTAAGAACCCCCGGAGCCAGTAAACATGTTCATTTCTCACTAAATTGCGCACTCAGAGGGGCAGGAACTGTGCTGTTTTCATCACTGCATCCCCAGTGCCAGCACTTAGTAGGCGGTCGCCCAAGTGTGTGTTGGGTGACTATTGAATAGCCCCTGGACAACATTCAGCACACAGTGGGTGGACAGTAATGTGACCTTCAATGAACTTGAAAAGAGAAACTGGCGATTCCACGAAAGGGAAGCCAATCCGGGGAATCGAAGACAGGAGACGAATGGAAGAGGCTCCGCCAGGTGACACAGCACAGAGTTCCCGGCAGGCTGAAGCGTCTGAGGACACTATGAGGGGATACGTGAGCCAGAGGGGAATGGGAGGACCAGCAGCACCCCCAGCTGTGGCTGAGGGGACAAGATGTGAGCCAAGATGCACCCTGGACGTGGAAGTCTGTAAGCTTCTCTGCCCAACTCAGAGGAGCCAGCACCAGAAGCAAGCAACTCAACGGGTCTCACTGCGAGTCTGCCTGCTTGACCTTGGCGCTGACCTGCGGTCACTTCCCTTCTTGCAGAGGAGAAAGGTCTTTTCATCAAGAAGCCCGACCCACCCCTCCGCCCCCTCTCCCCAAAAAAGGCTGCTTAGAAATTATTTCAGAATTAATTCAGCCCAAGGATTCTTGGGGGACGTTTCTTCAAGGTGAAGAGGGTCCACATCTCCCAGATCCCAATGCAGCGGACTAAAGTAACAGGCTCCCTTTTCTCCACCAGCGCGCCTCTGGCCTCCGGGTGTCCCCCACCCCTCAGCACCCAGTGCCCGGGAGAGACGACGTCCTTGTCCCTCCTGGTCGGAACAGCTGCCTCAGGCTCGGTCTGCCGGCCAATTAGCCCGAGCCGTCACCACAGCAACGGCAGCTGACGGGCCGGGCTGCTAGCTCGCCCCGGGCCGCCCTCCCCACGGCCCCTCCCCTGGGGTGGGGTGCCAAGGAAAGGGAGGGGCGGGGGGGGAAGAAAAGTCCGCCCCACCCCCCATTCCCTCCCCAAGAGGCAAGGGTGCGCTTTGCAGAGTCCACATAGGACCCTCCATCCCGGGGTTTGGGGGTCCCCAGTCTCTCCTCCCGGGGCGCACCCCTGTTGTTGCAAGGGTTGCCCGCGCACGGGCATCCTTTTTCTCGAAGCAAGTTTGTGGGAGCCTAGCCGTGGGCCCTCCCTTCCGCGCGCTCCCAGCCGGAGGGGGCGCAGCACCCCCTACCCGCACCCCGGACCTTGCCCCCAGCCTCAGCCCTACCTGGATGTACGCCATTTTCGCCCGCGCGCACTCACTCCGGCCCGGGCATGGCGCCGCCACGGCCACTTTGCCCTCGCCAACAGCGGAGGGGGAAGAAAGCAAAGGGGGAAAGGAAGAAAAAAGCAGCCGGTGGCCCCAGACGTGACTAGAGTGGCTGATGAGCGGCGCCCGCCCCTCCGCCGGCCGCCCCGTCCTTGCCTTTCCCTGCGTTCCGGCTCTCGGAATCGGGGCCGCCTCCCCGGTTCGGAGAGATCGGTTGCCCAGGGCCCCCGCCTCGGTCTCCCTCGCTGTCCCGTGCTCCCCCCCGAGGCGCTCCCCAGGCTGGAATAAGGCCCGGGCGCCTGGGCAAGGAGCCCGGGGCAGCCGCGGGGACTGCAGCGACCCCAGCGCAGGCGGGGCCGGAGACGCTGGGGCCCGAGCGCGCGGGAGGCGGGGGAGGGGATGGGGATGGAGAAGGGGGTGGGAGGGGGCGGTACACAGGTCAGCCCATCCTGCTGGCAAGGGGGCTGGCACCTACCGAAAGCAGGGCCCCCGGGGCAGCCGTGGAGCAGAGGGGACACAGTGCAGCCTGCCATGAAGTCTGCAGCAGGGAAGGTCCTCCCTATCCAGCCCTCTCCCCAAACTGGGTTGGAAAAACTTTATTCCCGCCCCACCCGACGCGCCTAGCACGGTTGCGGTGAGGATCGCAGAGGCTGCTTGGATGGGAGCCTCAAGTTAAGGTGGGCATAGGGCGTCCCAAACGGAGGTGCTGTGTCCAGGGCTTCAGGGGGCGCGCAGAGAGAGCGGAGCGCCCCTTTTCTTTAAACCTGCCGGAGTTGCGCCCTGGACGCAACAGGTCTAGTGCGGGGCGGCCCGGCAGCGCCACCCAGCGTCGTGCCCGGCCTCGTGTGCTCCCCTGCCCACCGGCTGCCGGCCGCCAGTGAGCGTGCGCCCCGGGGCGTGTCCACCGCCGCCCTCCTGCCTGACCTCGTGGCTGGGGCGCCCTGGACCCACAGGCCTCCATCAAACCTCCCAGTCCAAGGCCTCTGGCTCTCCACTCAGAGATTCGAGGTGGAACATTGCCCTCCTCTGGATTTATTTTATTATTTTATTTTATTTTATTTTATTTTATTTTAGACACAGAGTGTCACTCTGTCACACAGGCTGTAGTGCAGTGTGGGGTAATCTTGGCTCGCTGCAACCTGCGCCTCCCAGGTTCAAGGAATTCTCGTGCCTCAGCCTCCCGAGTAGCTGGGACTACAGGCGCCCGCCACCAAGCCCGCTAGATTTTGTATTTTTCGTAGAGAAAGGGTTTCACCATATGGGCCAGGCTGGCCTCGAACTCCTGGCCTCAAGTGATCTGCCTGCCTCGGCCTCTCGAAATGCTGGGATTACGGGCATGAGCCACTGTGCGGGCCGGATTTCTTTTTAATATGCCCAGTCATCTCCTGTTGCTGGGCACCAGCTTATCAGCCTGTTAATTTTAACCTCTCAGTGCCTCTTTTTCCTCAGTAAAAACAGGAGAAAATCTCCACCCTGCCTATCCTCCAGGGCTGTTTTGTGGGAATAAACGAGAAAATGAATATGGAAGTAACAAACAAAAGATGGATATTCAGATGCATATATTTTTTGTCTAAAAATCTAGCAGGCCTATACATTTTTTTAGTATGATATATTTAGTTTGTAGCATATAGCACGTAACGCATATTGAGTGCTTATGATTCTGCAGGCATACACGCCTCAACACTTCACAAGCATTATTTCATTTCAACCTGCAGTACCTTGATCACTCCTATCAGCTAGCACTCTGTCCAGCCAGAGTAGGCACTGAATAATTGTTTTTGTTGCCCTTATTCACTCTGCTTCCTGAGGGAGGTGCTATGATTATCTCCAATTTATGAGGGACTGGAGTCCGGAGAGGTAAAGCCTCTACCAAGGCCTGACAGCTGGTAGCCCGGGGCACTGGCCTTTGAACCTACAAGTCCAGGAATGAACCCAAAGTGGCCACTCCTAATCACTTTGTGGTATTTATCCACGATCTTTCTCCAGCACTGATGGCAGGGCATGCCAGGTGGGGAGTGGGCCTCACAGAGGAGGATGCCTATTGGGACGGGTGCTCCTTAGGGGCACTTGAGGGAGTTGGAGGAATTTGCTAGGTGTTCCCATAAGTAAAAATAATTAACCCTTTTTCACCTGAGGTCAGGAGTTTGAGACCAGCCTGGCCAACATGGTGAAACCCCGTCTCTACTAAAAATACAAAAATTAGCCAGGCATGGTGGCAGGCACCTGTAATCCCAACTACTCCAGAGGCTGAGGCTAGGAGAATCGCTTGAACCTGGGAGGCAGTGGTTGCAGTGAGCTGAGATTGTGCCACTGCACTCCAGCCTGGGTGACAGAGTGAGACACCATCTCAAAAAACAAACAAACAAACAAACAAAGTTAACCCTTTTTGAGGTCTGTGTACCAGGCACTGTTTCTAGCCCTTTACACGAATTTCAATCTTTTAATTTTCTGATTACCATGAGGTAGGCACTAGTACTATCCCACTCTTTAGGTGAGAAAAAAAGAGGCATGAAGAGGTGAAGTTGGCCAGGCATGGTGGCTCATGCCTGTAATGCCAGCACTTTGGGAAGCCAAAGTGGGTGGATCACTTGAGGCCAGGAGTTCAAGACCAGCCTGGCAACATGGTAAAACCCTACAAAAATTTTCTCTACAAAATATAAAAATTAGCCCGGCATTGGTGGCTCACACCTGTAGTCCCAGCTACTTGGGAGACTGAGGCTGAAGAATCACTTGAGCCCAGGAGATTGAGGCTATAGTAACCTGAGATCACACCACTGCACTCCAGCCTGGGTGACACAGTAAGACCCCATCTCAAAAAAAAAAAAAATGAAGTCATTTGCCCAAGGCGTATCATGCCAGACCACTGTTAACTCCTATAGAAATGGTACCATGTCCAAGAGGCCAAAAAGAGACCTAGAGACAGTGAACGAGACATAGGGTTTATTGGGGAAACTTACATACAGGGACAATCTGGTGGCAGCTGGCTGGACAGGAGAACCTCTATTGTTTATATAAAAAGCATGCAGTTTATGTAGCGTTTTCACTTAGCACCCTCCACCTAGCAACTTCCTTTTGGCCCTTTAACCCAAAACAAAGGGCCTCAATTGTTTATATAAAAAGCATGTTTATATAAAAAGTATGGAGTTTATATAGCATTTTCGCTTAGCACCCTCTATCTAAGCAACTTCCTTTTGACCCTTTAACCAAGGGTTTTGCCTCTTTAACCCAAAACAAAGGGCCTCAATTGCCTGTACAGCCTGCATTCCAAGGGACAGGCAGGAGACCCAGACATCCTTCATAGATAAGGAGTGAATCTCCAGGTTGGCCACTCCCGGATTCCTGAGCTCTGAACGGTGAATACACATTCTTCTTAGACCATAGTGTCGTTCGCAGGGTAAGCTAAGTTCAATTATTGCCGTCAGATGTGTCTGCCCTGCAGGGTGCGTATGGCTTCCAGGAGCTGGGATTCAAACCTAAACTTGAATCCTTTCCCTAGCCCCTGCACCATGCTGCCTAATAATGCCTGGTCTTGGAGGAGGGGGATGACCCTGTCCCCAGAATTTTTAGTACCTTAATCCCTTATGACCTGAAACTATCCAAGAATACTAAACACCTCTCCAGCAAAAGAAGAGGTTATTTAAAATGTGGATAATAGAACCTGCCTCTGGTACTATGAAATGTTTTAAATGTGTGCAAAGCACCTGGCAAAATAGGTATTTGATAAATGCTTGTTGAATGAGCAAATGGATTGCAACAACAGCTAACATGGACGCTTTCAACTCTCAATAACCAAGTGGTTATTATGTTTGAGTGCTAAGCCCTTCATATTCGTTTTTGTTTCATCCCTACTGGATCCTTACAAGGTGGGTACTGTCAAGGTCCCCAGTTTACGGGTGAGGAAACTGAAGTCCTGAGATGAGAAGCAAAGTGAGTTGCCCAAGGGAAACAGCTGACAAGAGACAGGGACAGGATACAAATGCAGATCTGGTTAGCAATAAAGGCTCAACTCATCATGGCTGCACCATTATCAGATGAAAGAATGGACGATCAGTTTAAGTCCTTCATCAGGGGAGTGTCAGATGAGTTCCAGGATCCCACTGCTTTGCAAGCCTCTCCCTGCCTTTCACGGGGACCTGAAGTCCAGCTTTTCAACGTAACTTGGACTCAGATCAAGGCTGTGCCTGCAAAGCTGGCACCTTTACAGGTCTCGATGGAGAAGGCCCCAATCTAGGAGGTAGACAAATGCATGGAATGATATGTGACCTGTGGTGTGATAAAGGGAGTCTCAGGGGACTGTGGGGTTACAGGTGAGAGACCCCAACCTAGTGTGATGAAGGATCACAGAAGGTTTCCCGGAGAGGCTGACATTAAACTGAGTTCCAAAGAACCAAAGATGGGGAGTGGTGCTTATTTGGGAGGTCCATGAACTTAGAAAGGAAAAAAGTTACGTCGCCATTGTCACCAACCTCCTTCTGAAATTTAGTGTTTCCTTCCATTATGAATGCAGGCAACAAACCAACACAAGCTTAGCACTTACTCAGGACTTTGTCACCAACAATGATCATGTGTAGTCTATCTCATTACACTCGTGGTTGTTGCAAATGACTTGAAATTTCATTTATGTTCTTTACTGATTGAAAATTACAAATAGTTATTAGGCCCACCTCTAAATCAGTCTATTTAATGTGTTAACAAAGAAGCAAAGACATGACCATATTTAAATTTGTTTAAATATTTTGATAACTGTATATCAGTGTTCATTATAATTTCATTATCAATCTATGTATTCTATTCTATGATTCTAAAAACATTATTCTGAAGGGTTCCATAGGCTTTGGTGGATGGCCAGGGTTTCATGACACAGAAAGTAGTAAGAAAGCCCTGAAGGTAGCCTCTGCATTAGCTTAGAGGTGAGAAAGGGAACTGGGGAGAGGCAGGTGGCAGGTGTGGCTCCACAGGTAGTGGATGCCAGATGTCAGGTGGCCTCCTAAGTTACCCCATGGAAAAGCAGAGAGGATTGTGATCAGAAAGATTTTGGCAGGGCTGTGTGCATGTCTATCTGTCTGTCTACCTGGCTGTCTTTGGACATGGAACAGACAAGCCTGGAGGCAGAGAGGCCAGCGAGGAGATGTTGCAACAATCTAGGTGAGAAATGATGCAAGTCTGAACCAAGATAATGGCAGTGAGCCAATGGCAGTACCAGAGTGAGAGGTGATGAGGTCATGGAAGGCAAGGAAGGCTAGAGAGATGCAGGTGTGCTGCAGGAGGAGGAGGGGTTTGTGTCTGAATACGCTGAGTCTCAGATATGTATTATCTAGGGTTCCTGGAAGAAGTCCAATTCAATTCAACTTGGGCAGAAAAGAAT